GTCAGACAGTAGTCTATGCAAGACTCGGAGGACGTGTTTGAGGAAGTGTTTGAGGAAATGTTTGAGGAAGTGTTTGAGGAAATGTTTGAGGAAATGTTTGAGGAAGTGTTTGAGGAAATGTTTGAGGACATGTTTGAGGAAATGTTTGGGGAAGTGTTTGAGGAAGTATTTGAGGAAATGTTTGAGGAAATGTTGGAGGAAATGTTTGAGGACGTGTTGAAGGAAGTATTTGCAAAGCCATTCCAACTGTTGTTTGTCAAACTTTTCCAGTCTAACTCTCCAATGGCCAGTGTCTGAGCTTCTTTAATCAGAATGTGTTTGTTCGTTGAGGACGAATTGTCAGAAATAGCTTGCCGTCGTTGTCTATCTTGAAAATGAATCGCATTTTTTTCTGACTCAGTCCGTTTTGAGATTTTCAGCGTGTCCACTTCTCTCTGTAATGTCTGTGTGTGTCCAAATTGTTTCAGCAGTCTATCCCAAATTTTGTCTGGTTTGTCTTTCTTTGAAAACAGATCAGATATACTAGCATTTCTCTTGGTGCCTGCAGGGAAGTTTTTATCATGCATGATCATTTGTCCCCTAGGGTCCTCTTTTTGAGCCCTATTCGTAAATGTAGGCTGTAGCAAGAAAGAAAGAGCGTGTGTTGGTCTCATAGACACATTTAAGATGCAAAACATAAGAACGGCAATCATTTTCCAAAGATTATTAACGTATCCAAGTTTCATTTGATAGAGATGTCAATAACAATATAATGCGTTGACGGTTAAACTCTTTGGCCGAACATAATTTCTTTGCTTCTTCAACGTATCTCGGCTGTTCTGTCTTCAACGTATCTCGGCTGTTCTGTCTTCAACGTATCTCGGCTGTTCTGCTTTTCCCTCGATCCAGCACAAGACGATGATTTCAAATATTTTCCGAACTCAGGTTGCCAGATGAGAAAAGGAGCAACCGTTTTACTAAGCGCCCGATAAGCACGATGGTATAATACTATAATGTCAGAAAGGTTATTTAGTCTTGGGCTCAATATATCTCTAGCTTTTCAAGATCTGCCATCTTTGAGATTGTCACCTTTACAATAATATAAAGATATGATCTAACCAACCCAACTCCTTCATCTCTGACGAAGAAAATTGTGTGTTGGGTTTCGCATTCCATTTTAATATAGTATTCCAAGGGAGTAAAATTGCCTTGGGTGTTTTATCATAATTATTCGTCACTCTTTTAAATAATGTCGTCGTCACGAAGCCCTCCGGCATCCATACGCCGATGGATTCGATTTGCCCTCAAAGAAGCTTTTAATCATATTGACATTATGGGTATGGGGATACTGTTTCTTAGATAAAGCTTTGTTACGGGATTATAGGTTATTCAACTTCGAACAGTTTGGCCAGGGCAGCTGTAATATCACCATGCACTCGGTGCACCTCAGACGTTTCCCGTTGATAATGAAAAAGAGGAGAGGGAGGAGATGGAGGAAAGAGAGGAAAGGTAAGAGGTGAAGTGGGAGGAGGATAAGATAAGATACATATTTATTGTCCAGATCTTGGCATATTGGTTTGGTGTTTCACTGCGTACACATACACACACACACACACACACACACACACACACACACACACACACACACACACACACACACACACACACACACACACACACACACACAGGCTGCTACAGCATCTCTCTTGATTTCCAGTGCATTTAAAGTTATTCATAATATATTGATATATATTTTTATATCAGTGTTTTCGCTATTTGACAGTGCATATGGTGATGTAAGATTTGTTTTTTTTTAAACGCCAGTCAGTGTTTTCTACACAATTTTTATCAGTTTTTATTTCACCATGATTGGGCTTGGTATTTTTCTAGTGGACATATTTTTCCTCCTTCTGGGGTCTACTCTTCGTTAATGCACGGACGTCAACAACAAAGGAAGTTTTTCTCCTGAGTGTCACCTGAAAACCGTTCTCAGAGCCGTTTCCAGCTCAATATACTTGTACTGGGTGTCAATGTACCGGTAAAGGGGGGGGAAAAACCAAAAGAAAGAAAAGAGGTGGACGACGAAAACAAAGGGCAATCTATGTGGTAGACTGGAAAACAAAATCAATATTAATAACTTGGTCGAAATCGACAGTCGAAATTTTTTGCAAGAAGTAACACAAAATGTCAGAGAAGCTTGCCTTAACACCAGGTCAGGTCGTAATAAAGCGGACAGAGACAGAGACAGATACAGAACGGAAAGGGTTTCTAATGTAAGAGAACACATGTTTTATTGAATGTTTCTAGCTATTAAGTTTTCAATGTCAATTGAAATTTCGTAAGTTGTTATTGCATTCTACATTTTGAGCGAACGCATTGCCAGGCTCATAGTATGAATTTTTTCTCATATAAAGTTTTAAGCATAATATACGTTGACATAAGCTAATACTAATATATTAATATTCATAATACTACATTTTACGTAAACACATGTCCATCAATTTTTAAGGTGTGATATTTTTTATTAAAGGAATAATTAGAATAATTAGTCTCTCTCCACATAATTTGACCAGTAGTATTGGAATAATTAGTCTATCTCCACAAAATATTACCAGTGGTCTTTTGAAAAATTATTTCATCTCCAAAAGTATAACGACGAGATCGATCTCTGTAAACTCGAATTAAATGTTCTTGCTGTTCATTAACTTAAGCAAATATTTAATGTAATTATGGATAGATGTAGAATCTAAATGATTTTTGTACAAGCATGACCAATAAGAAATCAAATATTTTTTGTTCTATAAGATGTTATATGTC